CGTGGGACAGCGGCCGCGGAGAGCGGGGCGATGCGATGCGTGCGGGCGTGAGAGGGGCGCGGGCGTTCACACCGCGGCTGCGGGGCGAGGGCTCCGCCGGTGCCGTCGGGTGCGAAGTCGCTGGGGCCGGGGGAGCTGGGCAGCTCGCCACCAGCTCGCAGCTCGCCACCAGCTCGCAGCTCGCCCTGCCCCGTTGCCTGCGGGCGGGAGAGGTCGCGTTCCCGTGGCTGGCGAGACCCTCCCACGGGAGCCCCGCTCGGCCCGGCCAGGAGTGTTTCACCGGGGAGGTTGGTTCCCCTCCCAAGATAATAAATAATTGCTGCTGACATTCCTGGGGGTGATGTGAATGCTGTGAGGCTGTGGAGAGAAAACAAATGAGAAATGAGGATTTTCTGGAAGAAAATACGTGCGTGGGGTTTTAGCTTTGTGGTTTTTTGTTGAGGTTTTGGCTTTTTTTTTTAAAGCTAAAAAAAAGTCAGCATTCACCTAGTTTGCTATGAATGTTTATCATTATGCTCTTGTGATTTTAGGTTTTTAACATAGTCCAAACTTCGGCCGCATTAAAAGCCACACTGTTAGTGTTTCACATCCACAGACGGTTAACAGGGCTGTGTGCGATGCCCCTTAGTTCCACCTCGCTTTTTTACTTAGAAGCTGACAGCCCATCAACCCAGTCCAGCTGCGGCAGTTTTTTTTCTGGGGCGCTCTCCACAGAAGAAGAGGGAAGAGTTCACTTGTGGCAAAAAGCAGTCAGCCCCAGACAGTGAAACCAAAGCAAGCTACTTTCTAAAAATATCAGGACAAAAAAAGAGGGCTGGGAGAAGCCTTTGCAATAATCACGTGGCGAGGAGGGTGTTCCAGGCCAGCGGCGGAAAGAAGAAAGGCAGCAGAGACAGTAACGTTTGTGAGGATGGCACAAGGCTCCGGGCAAGGCAGGCAGAAGTTTAACCTGGCTCTGCTGAGGGGGAGTGAGGCAAAACACTGGAAGTTCCTCTTTAGAG